GACACTCGTTCAGAAATGTCTAAAATGTTATGCGTATACAGCCGCTTTCTCAGATCAATGGATAAAATGGCTTCGACAGAATAAAGCAAAGAGTTTTTAGAGAAGACGTTGGTTCTAATGGACTGTCGCTGCAGAATCACAATTATAGAACTGTACAAAATAACAGAAACCACATCACTTGAGGACCAACAACAAATAAAATGTCTATCACATAATCAAAACGTTGACGTTCCACATTACATCAAACGAAGGTTTAGAAAGGAAACGCCCATTGTAAGAGTGATAGCAGATAATGAACTTGAAAATCTCATATTTCTAGAAAAAAAAAACATATTAGGAAAATATTTTATAAATTTTAACCGAAAATTTACTCGGCCAAAGAATACCGAATATTTCCTTATATAGAAGCGGCTAATATTAACATTATCGTTAAAGATAAGGAGAACAGATATTACACTTTGATCCTATACCGATGGCCATGGAATAAAGACAAGCATTACTCGAATAGCATTGACTGCTTGGTCAATGAATCTAGAATGTTTCCATATTAGGAAACAGCTTGTATTACCATTACCATTTGATATGTGATAATTTTTAAATTCTATTTTTATCCCATCTTCAAAGTTTGCATACATGAATTGTGAAGCATCTCTGATAATTTATCAGGCGATTGAAATGGGATAGTATTTATATATCCGAAAAAAGTTGGTTATAAATTATACAGTTTACTGATGAAAGATGTCTTTAAAAGAAAAGTTGATTTAATTCTGAACAGAGAATTATTTCTAACGAACAGAGAATAAAATACATTTATAATGTCTTCATGATCTCCAATTATTGATTATTAAAAAATATCCATTTTTTTATTTCTTTTCTCTGAGCACAGAAGTAAATATATTAAGAATGTCTTCATATCCTCTGATTCTTAATTATGAAAAATTTATCCGTTTTTTATTTCTTTTCCTTGAATTTGCGAAATCGTCCCAATTTCCGCATTTTAAAAATCGTCTGCATTCTACCACGAGGTGAAAATTTATACATTTTTGTTTCTTCTTGAGAATTAACAGAAAAAAAAACAATATTAGATCGTTTATTTAGACTATTTATTATATTACTTATTGGAATAGTCAGAAAAACATCGGCTAATTGCCAATCGATTCGAACTTTATAAAACGGTAAATAATATGGATTTCCTTATCGTTAGTTCATATATTTTAATAATTTAGTAAATGTTTATAAATAGAACATTGCTTTTATATTTATTTCTTTATAAATTGGTAAATGATAAATATTGCATTAGTTTTAATTACATTAGTTTTTAGAATGTTGTAGATATAAAATTATACATGAAAATAAACAATTTAATAAATAAATAGTGTTTAATATTCTTGTAAATTCTCATGAACAAAAAATATATAGGTTTAATAATTCCAAGTTTAATCACATTTTAAAACAATAAATATTATGGTAAAAAAATCGGTGTCATGGGAAAAAAAGCGTCCATTTAACATTATGTCTTATTGCGGGCTCGGGGGTTCATGTTTATCACCATGAGTTAGTATTAATACATCTTCAATATATCAAAAATACTTCATTTGATATCAATTTTATCTGATATTTTAACGCCAACATATCCACCCATTCTGATTCGAAATCGTATGACTCCTTGCGCTATATTTGATGAAATAAATGCATTCAACATGGAATCCGTATGAGACAGCACTTATTACCCTCACTAGTTCTGCCAAGATACCTGCTAGGTGGTGCTGTTATATAAGATTTTATACACGAACAGATATAATCGATTCTTCCGGTTTTTTATTTTTAAAATTTAACATGAAATTTGATATGAGCACGCTTTCCCACTAGAAATTGTGACTCCAACTTGATACCATTTGTAGAAAGAATGCGTTATTTGTGCTCATATCACGTTGGGATGTCCAGGAATTTGTGTCTCTACAGCAGTGGTTTTCAAGCTTTTTGCTGAAGCGGAACCACAAGGAAACATACCAGTGGCTCGAGAAACCCCCGCAATAAATTAATTGTCTAATGCAAAAAAAAAAAAAAAATTATTAAAATAAAATAAAAATACTCATCTTCAGATTTATTTACAAAAAAATACAAAGACAAACTGTTTGAAGGGATTCAAAATTTTTTAAAAATAATTAAAAATTACTTTGATCTTTCCTCTTAATAAAGATATAAACATTTTGATGGAAAAAGTTTGTTTTATTAAATTTGGGACCTTTTTTTATTCATACTATGCTGTTTTGTTATTGATTTAGTGGAGGTACCTAAACACACATATCTGCACAGGAGAATTAAAAATTACTGTCAATCATAGTACTTGTGTAACTTCTTTTGGAACCCCTGGGTTTTACTGGCGGAACGCTAGGGTTCCACGGAATCCTGGTTGAAAAGCACCGCTCTACAGGTTTGTAATGGAACGTGGTTGAAGATGAGAACCCAGGAAAAAGTAAATTCTCGCATTTTCAGAAGGAATAATTTTCAAAACGTGGGGTATATTTTTTTTATCCATTTTTATATAATGGATACCATGATTCTCCCAAGAGAAAAAAAAAACGCACTTGTGCGTACACAGATTGCTGAAATGGAAGAAAACATTTAACGCTTTTTATGCAGAAAGATGTGTACTTTGCGTCTGCGAATGGATAACACGGCTGGAGCAGTTTAATCCGTGATTCTTCCCATGGTGGTCAGTACTGGCATCGGTCAGTTGATTGTTATCTTTTGACCGCTTCGTTCCTTCATCTGCTTTGCCCACGTTGTGTTCTTGGATTACAATGCAGTGAAGATCGAATTCTCGTTCGCAGTTAAACACTGAATCGAGTTGGCGGAATCGTGCTATGAAAAAAAAGAAAAAAAAGAAAATGACAAGAATGATTCCTCTGGGGAAAATAAAAATATTATAGCAAATAACGAAGAAAGACGCTGGGTAAATTTTCATTAATTTTCAATAGGTTTATAGAAAACATTTAACGCTTTGTATGTAGAAATGTGCGTATGTGTGTACGCGTATTTGCGTGTGAGCTAAATTTTGTTATTCACCGCTCGAATGAAAGAATTATTTCCCCAACAAATACAAGATACATTTTGAAGCTTCTGCATTTCAAAAAGTTTTTATCCTTCATTTATTGCCATGATACGGCGCCACGTAGATCAAGAGGCATGTCAATGGGGGTAATCCAAATACACTACATTGAAACTTATACACTAATTCAAATAAGTAAGTACAAACCAACAATGAAAGCTGAAAACATATTTATAAGAACGTTACATGAAGGAGAACAGTCATCCCCCCCCTAAATATATAAAAATCACCTAAAATAACTAAAATCGGAGAGAAAGTTCCAAATCCAGATCGTTATATCCCCTTATGGGTAAATACAGCTCATCTCCTCCAACAGTATGTTAATTAGTAGAGCTTTACGAGTAAAACATTATTTTCTTACCTGAAATTCTCATAATTTAATAATATTTCTGGCTTTAAATAACCTGCAAAGAGGCTGATAAGCCGTAAAAATAAAAATAGGAAAACCATGAAATTTTCACGGGCATTTCTAGGGCAGTGTAATATACGTATGGTAGATTATTATATAGCTCCTAATATTTATATGGTTGTTTGTGGAAGAATGAAAATAAGCTAATAAATAAAATAATAATAATAATAAAAAATTAATAAAGAGTTTCCTTTTCCCATAATGCACAATGAAACCAAAAGGCGGTTCCGGCCACGTGTGAATTTTATTACTCCACTTCCGTAAAGGACATGATTGCTCTGTTTTCACTTTCTCACTATTGAATTCTGACGCGTTTGGTAGCCATGCCAACGAAGGGGAGATTTGGCTACCCTCACTCAATGTCAGGCTGACATTCTCTACACATCCGCATATTTGTACCATGGCGTCCCATCAATATTTTAGGAAACCAACAATTTATTCGTCTTAGTATGAGAATGATAGATGGATCTACTGACTTTTCCTACATTCTAGTCAATATTAATGAACTAGTGACCAGTCAGTTATGTGCTATATGTGATACACGCTTAGACGATCATGTATCTTTAGATACACGACTGACGAGGCAGATTTTTCCCGCAGTAGGTTGCTGTTTCTTTCTGTGGTAGACCAGTTGCCATCCAAGACTATAGAACCCGGTCTGTCCTACTTTTTATCCATAGCTGGTAGGAGGAGGAGGAGGAGGAGAAGAAGAAGAAGATTCATCCCTTTCCCAATGGTATTAGCACGTAAGTGAATGTAACGGATTTGATTGGCATTCGAACTCGGCTCACCGATTCCCCGGTCCGAGCCGCTAGTGACCAGGTTTCCTGAAAATAACTACAGGGTCTTCCTAAATTCTGGACACATAGGAAATCTCTTTCTATATTTTTTTTTTTTACTTTAGTTTCACAGATTAAACATTGCTTTATCGAAACCAGAATAAACTGATTTCTTTTTTTTTTTTTTACTTGGCCATACTAAAAAGAGAAGGCGTAATCAATTAAAATCACTGATGCGGCAAAATTTATTGAACAGATGGAGTGAATGGGGTAAAATTGATATTACGTGATATACATTCAGCAACAAGACGCTAACAGGTTAATGAACATCAGACTGCAAAGGTGACTAACATACTTTTTTTTTTCTTATTCTCATTGATTGGATCATATTTCAAAGCGTTGATCAAGGTACATAGATTGCAAAACTTCATGCATAATTATAGTTTGAAAAAGAAGTTTGATTATAATAAAATTTAAAAGTGTCTCTTTAATTGAGTGTGATAAGTATAATTGAAAATCTGAATGAGAACACTTACTTGGGTGTGAAGATTATTATACGGCCAATCTAACTGGATTGACCTCTTTCAACAATATCGTGATTTTTCAGTTGGACGAACAGAAGTCGCGTGGAAGCGAACAGCTTTAAGTGCGATTTTATAATCTTCCGGGTGGCAGTTTCTTTTTCAAAGGACGTGACAAGAGTTTTTAAGCAAATCACTTTTCTGGTATGTATATAATAAATTTTGTTTCCCATAGTGATATGAACAGTTTTTTTTTAAACATGTCAATATTTTTACTTTTGAAAGTTAGCACGGAATATTTCTGTTTAAATTGTATCGCTTAAAATTCAAAAAGTACAATTACACGTATTTAACATATATGTAATGTATGTATGTATATATGTAATTAAGGTTTGGTCGATTTTTAAACTAAATGCTTAGACAAGTATAGTCATGATATCATAAACCCACACAAAATATTTACGTTAAAATTTCCATTCTATTTGAGGAAATGCAATTAAAATCTAATTAATATCTCGGAGATTGTTGCGATCTTAACCGAAATTAATAAACAAACCGGAATATTCCATGCTAAAAAATAAAGTAAATATAAATCAATTAAAAACTGATGTTTAATAGTTCTTTAAAATACTGTAAAAGATAAACATTTAAAATAGTAAACACATAAGTATGTTATAAGAAATAACATGCTTTATAAATTTTACCTAACATAAATTATTTACGTGTAGTTACAAAAGCAATATCGACGCATTCACATCGTAGGATATGTTAAAAATAGAAGCAAGCGCGAATTCACGATATCTAAGGATTAAAATGAATTAAAAAAATGAAAATCATTCTTGAAGCTTTCATTTTAGCTTTAACTGAAAGCTAAAGGATTAAATTTACTATTTTCAGTAAGGAAAATATTCTGGTGTATTTCAAACAGAAATTATATTCATTTGAATCGACTTTTTCTGTTTTTGCTACAATCGCTGATTAGCGCTCGTTCTTAGTCGTCTTTTATCTTATTATAATTCATTAACTTTTTTTTACAGCGAGATTCACCCATTACAAGCCCTGGGGGCCACACGAGGTATAGGATTAAAAATTTAATAATAAAAAATAACTTTGTCTTTCCTCTTAATAATAACATAATGTTTTTTAACGATAAAGCTTTGTTTTTATTATGTTTGGGTCCTTTTTTCAACATGCTATACTGTTTTTTTCGGCGAATTATTGAAGATACCTAATTTAAAAAAATACATCAGTTTCACTTTTTTTAAAAAATAAACCGGATATAAATTTCAACAACATCAGTATCACTTTTTATTTTTTTCTCTACCAATATAACCCTACACTCACCGAAGTACCCCTTGCTACCTAGAACAGGATTTTTTAAACGAGATGGATATCACAATTAAGAGATGCGCAAAGTTAATTTGAAGCGTTAATTTCGACACCACAGGCTGGGTCTATGATCAGCGGCAGACTTGACCCTTCTAGCATATCTTTCTTCTCTTTCATCCAGTTGTGAATTAATTGATGGTGAATCGTCTCAATGTTTTTCGGGTAGCTCTTTTGAACAAACATGCAGCTTCTGGGCCGAAGAATTATTTTCTATCCCACAAGACGCATCAAAATAGAAAAGCTGGGAGTGAATAAAGTGCGAGGTCAATTTACTAATTTTGAGACTCTCCCTCGATCAGCGCTGCCTTGTTTATCTACTATCTATTTCACAACCGAGCAGTGGCGCCTAGCTCAACGCAGTGCCCTCTTCATCTACCGGTACCCTTCTAGATGATGAGTGCACTAGGGTCGGAGTCGCGATCCGTCTTGGACTCAAATTCTGTGAGCGTCACAGATGCAGATGTGGAGCATCCATTGATGAGTTTGGTTTACATCCGCTCTCCTGTCGTCGTAGTACCGGCCGCTTTCCACGGCACGCAGCAATAAACGACATCATCAAAAAAGGTTTAGGATGCAGCTGGGTTCCCTTTCCAAATCGAACACGTAGACCTCAACCGTGGTGATGGAAAGCAACCGGATGGGATTACCATTTTCCCTTTTAAAGGGGAGAAATCGGTGATTTGCGATGCGACATGTGCCGATACATTTTCGACGGGTAATTTGGTCAGGCCCCCGGTTGAGCCGGGATCTGTCGCTCGGGACTCGAAGATAAAAAAAAATAGTTAAATATTCTTCTCTAGTGGACAGATTTATTTTTTACTTTATTGGCAGTGGAGATTTCTGGGTGGGTGGGATTCGCCTTAGTCCGATGACGTTCCTTGGGAGGGTTGGTGGGATGGCGTCTCGATTAAGGACTGAGTCTCGCCAGAGGGGTTCTTGCAGCGTGTCTCACTGTAATGCTTTCTCCATCATTGCGGCTTGGCAGAGAAAAAAAAAAAAAAAAAAAAAACATTTTTTTTTCTTATTATAGATACTTTTTTCAAATAAATTTAGAAATTATTAACTTTCCAAAAATAAATAAATAAACAAAAACATTTTACTTTTAATAAAAATGGATTTAAATTTCGTCGGTGATTATTTTTTTTTTACACCATTATATCAGCGTCCGTTTTGTTTTTATTTACATTGGAAACTGTTAAGAAATATAAGGTAAAAATATATTAATTGCAAATTTTTTAAGTAAAATATAAATTGACAGTGTAATTTAATTTATTTTTATTTCCTAGAGTAATACTTTTTCAAACATTTTATTAAAATGTTTGAAGAAAAACGTAATATAAGGAAGATGTTTCCTCTAATCTTGGAGCATCTCTTGCTAATGTCTTTCTCTTGGATTTACAGGCTCTGAGGATTTTTTAATCCTGGATTTGATTTTAAAAACATAATTGATAAATCAAAAATAGAGAAAAAGGCTAAAATAAAAGTAATAAAACGAAAGACACAATGAAGATATTAAAAAGTCTGTTTAGGAGTTGATGACAAGTTTAATAAAAGATACTTTGTTGTATAAAGAAGTTATAGGGGAAATGAGGACATTAAACTAAAAAAAGAAAGTGGGCAAGAACACTATTTAATATTTACTCAAGTGACTGAAACTCGAAAATACCTGACTCGTAGATGAGTTACAACTACAGGTGCCACTGGTTTTATTTTAACAGGAACTTTTAGTGTTTTGGAAGACTGACAGTATAGACAGCCTTAAGTCTGTTTTTTCTGGACAACACAAATATTGGATGTTAGCTAAGCCTTGTAATTGCTCCGGGGAAGAAGCTCCATCGAAAATTATAGATAACTGGCAGTTCATTACATCAGAATGAGCTACCATTCAGAGCCGTTTTTAAACATGTTGATGGTACAAGAAACCCAACTGCTTTTAGAGGCCCACGAGACAAATTATGTGAAATGGACTATCATGATTTGCCCCAAGTAGAATTCATGAAGATCACTGCCCCTCTTGATAATATGCACCCCCCTAGTGAAAATGGGACTTCTAAGTAAAGACCAAAGGCTTCTTTTGGAATATACCCCAGGGATTTCCAAAGGTAAATTTAAATCTACATTTTCTGCCTGGAAAATGTGATCATTATATAATGCAAGATGGTTACATTTAGCAACCAGATTAATTTGTATGTGACCAGGGGTATATCTCCTTTAGAACTCTATGACAAGCTTCACCAACGTATTAAATTCCTTATTGAAGTGTATGCAATTAGCTGGCTTGAGATTAAGTGGGGTATTAAATTCCATAACCAGCAGTTGTATATATTCAATATGATCCAAAGTATTAAGAAACGGTCTGAAGGAATTCAAAATATTGCATCCAAGAACATTCAATATAAGGCTTTTGCTTTGTTATCTGAGAATTCGATGATGAAATCAGCTGAATTAGAAGTGAGAATTGTAGCCCTGGGAAAATTACTGTACATTAGGTAAGAAATATAGGGAAATAGACTAATTTATTTGGATTTAAAGGAGAGTTTTTTTTAAAGTTCTATTGACTAAGAATACAATAGAATAGGCATGGATTATTTAATTAAAATAAAAATTGATTTTTTATTATTTGCAGATTTGCATTGTTCCGAATTAATCAATCTATCCCAAAGAGGAATTTTTGAACCTGCAGCCACTGAATGATTTCCAGAAAATGAAATTCAAGCTCCTGTTATAAATGACACAAATATAGATTTGCCTGATTTTCCTTCCCATTTTCGGTATGGAAAGAACAGTTAAATTAACATCTGAAGCTTCTCATGTTGTTTACATATGTGAAGCAAGATAGATTTATTCTTGCAGAAATATTATGTCGTCAACTAAGAACTCCCTTTTCTTTCTAAAGGTTTTAAAGAGATGATTATATTAATATTTGATTTAAATTAGTGTTATATAGGAATAAAGTGTCGCTGCCGACACTTGAATTTGAACATAGATCGCCATTGAGCCTACACAAGCGATCTCATTATTGAATTAAATGAATCACGTGACGATGGGAGAAACGCATAAGTAGGAAGTCACATGACGTCTAATTTTTATACTATCCTCTATTGCTATACGATTCACCATTTCTTTATATTATTCACTATACTATTTCTCTATTCGGATCGCTATTCGGTGGTTATTTTCAGAGCAAATATTATCGAGCAATTACGAGTTAGTGCGTGTGTTGTTCGAAAACGTCTGACACCAGTATTGTTCAATGGCGTTAATATAGTTGTAAAGTGTCAACGAGTATTCGTTGACATTACGAAAGTGTCAACGAGTGTTCGTTAGCTTCAGAAAAATTAGTTTTTAAGTAATATAAAATTTATTTATTAAAATAGCAAAATATTTTGATTTAATTTTTTTTCTTATGTTATGTACTTCTCCCTCTGTGTCCCTTTTTTTTTTTCTTTCTTTCGTTTTGTGCTATTTTAAAATACTAAGTTTAAAATTATTTTCTTTCAATTTTCAGGACTGCTGTGGAAAGTGATGAAGATGAAGCCAATTTACATCGTTTTGTCCGCGATATTTTTCCTGCTCATCGCCGAGCCAATCGAAAGTGACAACATTCTATTTCTCGGTCTTCCATATTTCAGTCACATCCACCCGATGACTTCACTGGCGAAAGAACTTTATAAAAGGGGACATAACTCCTATTTCCATGTTTCTCAAAATCTGTCCAAAATGTTTAAAGCATTAGATGGAGTCCATTTTGTACACATGCCTGATATCATCAAAATAGCTGAATTCACGGAGGTTGCCATAAGTCTTTTCTCTGAAAAGAGCAACTATACACTGTTTGATATGAAGAAACTCATTTGGGAAATATGCGATGATTTGTTGCTCGACCAAAAATGGTTTAAATATTTGAAGTCATTCAACGCCACTTTGGTCATTGCAGATAGCATGTACATGAGCAATTGTTTGACAATAATTCCTTACAAACTATCGATTCCATTCATATTTATTGGGGCTGTAAATATACCTTCAGTTCATCGAACACCATGGAACTTCGCCACTTTTCCGTTTGTGGGTACACAATACTCCGAACGCATGTCATTCATGGAAAGATTGCAAAATACGCACAGACTAATACTAAATTACATCATTTCCCCTTTGGGTGCCCCGGCGAAAAGCGTGAAACATTATGCACCGAACAAACCCGATATCCCTTTTGATGAACTTCTTCGTAAAGCAGAGTTGCATATCGTAGAATCTGATGTCTTGATAGATTACGCATTTCCAGCACTGCCAAATGTGGAATACTTAGGTGGGATGGGAACGCAACCTGCCGAAGGACTTGAAGGAGATTTGCTTAAATTTGTTAATTCATCAAAGAATGGAATCATTGTTGTTTCATATGGCTCATTGGTAAAGAGACTTCCAAGAGAACATCTCGAGAAAATGGGAGAAGCCTTTAAGCAAATCAAATCCAATGTCGTCTGGAGATGGTCGGATATAAAATATTCTTCGTCTAATGTATTTATGATTAAATGGATTCCACAAAACGACTTACTAGGTCACACGAAAACGAAGCTGTTCATCACTCACTGTGGCAATGGAGGACAATTTGAAAGTTTGTATCACGCAGTTCCGATGTTAGGCTTTCCACTATCTGGGGACCAGTTCCACAACGCTAAAAGAATTGTGGAAAAAGGATATGGACTCTCGATGGATTTATATAATTACACGGTGGAAGAACTTGTGGCAAATATTAAGGAAGTTATCGATAATCCGAAATACAAAAGCAATATCCAACAGGCGAGTGATATTTTCAAATCTCGACCAGAACATCCATCTGAAAGAGGAGCGCGTATAGTAGATGACGTCATCAAATATGGCGGTGGTTTTCTCAGATCTTATTGTCAGGATATACCATTGTATCAATATTTTATGCTCGATATTTTGGCGTTTCTATTGTTGTTGGCTGTTATTGTTATTACCATTTTTGTTCTTATTCTACGAAAATGTTTTTCGATTTGCTGTCGAATGAAAATTAAAAAAGATTAATATGTTAAAGACACTGTAACTTTCGTGACATAAAATTGAATAATAAAAACAAATAAATCAGCATTTCATCCTATGAACCAACAATACAATCGTCGTCCTGGGTATAACGATAAACTACAGCCAGCAGCTAAGCCTCTGACGTGGAGGATTTGAGGAGTATGGAACCAACTATTAATTTCTGTTGTTCCCAAGTCCACCTTGACCTGTTAGGTTCCTCATAGTAGATAAATATTTAGTCCCCCAAATTGGTGTCAAAACACTATGAAAGTATAAAAATAGATTTTATAGTAAAAATACCAGCAATACATTTTTGAAAAAAAAAAAATTGCCAGCAATACATTTGACACTGGATAAAACCCCTCTTTACTAAAATATATCAAGGGAATTGATATACAAACTAATTTCTCACGAAGAAATACATATAATTCATACGAATCTATCCTAAAAAAAATTATCAGCATTAAAATTTTTAAAAAAATTGTCAGCATTAAATAACCCACTGGGATGTCGATATGCCGCAAAGCAAAATAATTCAAACGAAATAAATCAACCAATTAACCATTCAAAAGTTGTCTGTTTTAAAACCGAAAAAAATAACATAATTTGATTGAATTTGTTGACGTAACTTCTGTTTGTTGCTGATAAGTTAATGTGGCATCAACTTTGTCGTTCATTGCCATGATTGGTTTGGGAAATCTGAGAATCTTAAAATAAAATGTGATATAGAATTATCATTTATTTTCTCTTCATAGCGTTCAATATTTTCAAGTCATAACCAAAGCATTCATCAGTAAAGAGGTGTCCGTTTTGAAGATTACATCATAAAATCCGCTGTAGATTCTCTGATAGATTGCTATAAAGTTATGCGCATCTATTAATCATTTATGTTGGATATTTTGAATTTTGAAGTTGTCTGTTTTTTTTTTTTTTTTGATTTGCATTGTAATTATTATTCGACGAAGATGTTTATCACCTTGTTGTTGAATGAAAAAATAATATTAAAGAGAATAAACTAATTTCGATCAATTCTAAAGAATAAAACAGAAAATTAAATAATCATTTTATAGTGTCAATCATTTTAATATGCCTCTTGGTCCGTCTTTTATCGATAGAGTGTTTATTGACTGGAGAAAGACCAAAAAGAGGCTTACGTTCCACACCACTTCAATCAAAAGGTTAGGAAGGAAATCTCCACCATAAGAACGATAGCGGATAGTGGAATTGAAAAAAACCTTAAGAGAAATATTTTATAAAATATAAATATAAATTTCAGCTTGAAATAGCGGAGGCTTGTAGGTCAATTTATGCTAAATATTTCAAACGTATTTATGTTGAATATTTCAAACGTATTTATGCTGAATATTTCAAACGTTTCAAAGAATAGTTATTCCCTTTAAATTAACGATTTATGGTTTCTGTTACATCAACATAAATTTTTTCTTTATTTGTCCTTGATATAACCATTTTGTAACGCTAAAAAAAAAAACGGTAATGCTTAACCCCTGGGGTGGAAATAAAATGGTTTGTCAAAAGGACAGTTATTCCCTTAACATCGTTCTTACTGCATACATTTTTCACTCCCGATGCAATATTTATTATTTTGAAAAAGTGATGATTAGAATTTTAATAAAAATTTCCACACTACTTTAAACAAGAGGCTATGAAGGAAATTACCATTGTAAAAACAATAGCGGATAATAAATTGAAAAACTGTTAAGAGAAACATTTTATAAATTTCAGCTGAAAATAGCACATGCTGCTAGGTTAATTTCTGCCAAATATTCCAAACTTATTACATTTAAGTTAGCGATTTATGGTTTTTTGTTATATTAATATGTTATTTTTTTTTATCTGTTTTTGATAAAAAACATTTTGTAAAAAAAAAAAAAAAACAACCCCCCCCCCAAAAAAACGGCAATATTTAAATTTTTTAAACTGAAAAAAAAAAACACGATGTGTCAAAAGAACAGTTATTCCCTTGACACCGCTATTACTGCATACATTTTTCACTCTCTATACAATATTTATTATTATTATTTTTAAAAAGCGATTCTTAGAATTTTAATAAAATCTAAACATATGAAAGTGGATTTATACATTTTCTTTATTCTTGACAATTGATAATAATATTAAACACTAAATTTTTTTTATAGATGTTTATAAAGTGGTAAATAACAAATCTTTACAAAAAGTAAATAATATCGCACATTACTTGATTCACAAATTTTTCATAATAATAATCATTACCGAAGCAATCAAAAGTATATACAATAATAGTGGTGTCAAGGGAATAACTGTCCTTTTGACACATAGTTTTCTTTTTGTTCGGGTGCGGTGGTTAAATATTGCCAAAAATCATCAGAGAATTCTGTCATTTGTGTCTTTTCTCGGTTTAGAAAACATTGAAGTTTTAACTTTTGGAACATGCGTTTTATTTGAGAAAACCAGACTACGTCGATGGTTAAATTGTCGCCATTTTATATTTTTTATTTCGCGCATGCGTGTTGTTTGTTTTTGATTTTGGCAACTGCACAGTATAGTATTGCGCAGTAATCAAGACGAGTAAGAAGATCAGTAAAAAGGCTGTTAACTTAGTAACCTTCCGCGAGGTACACTTATGTAAACAATACAGCTAATCGCGGCTGCGCTAGATGCAAATTAGGCCGAAATAAGATTGTCGATATCTCCTAAACGGTATTCTTCCGCAAATTTTTATTGCCATTTTGGAATTAATCAGGCAACGTCACACCAGAGTGGAAATTTTCATTACAACTGTTTTCCGAGGGATAATATGCAAATTTACCAGAGTCTTTAAATTCTAATTTCATTATAACTTCAAAACTTGCGTACATGAATTGTGAAACCTCTCTGATAATTTATCGGGCGATTGAGATGGGATAGTATTTATATATCCGAAAAAAGTTGGTTATGAATTATACAGTTTGCTGATGAAAGATGTTTTTGAAATCAAAGTTGTTTTAATTCTGAGTAGAGATTTATTTCTAACAAACAGAGAATAAAATACATTCAGAATGTATTCATGGCTTCTAATTCTTGATTATTAAAAGATATCCTTTGTTTATTTCTTCCTTGAATTTTGCGAAATCGTCCTCCATTTTCAAATTTCCGAAAAATCGTCTCCATTCTGCCACGAAGCGAAAATTAATACATTTTTTACTTGTTGATAATTAGCAACAAAATAATAATATTTATTATACTACTTATTGGAATCGTCGGCAAAACATCGGCTAATTCTCTATCTATTCGAACTTTATAAAATGGTAAATAATAAGGATTATAGTTGGTTCACATATTTTAATAATTAGTAAATGTTTATAAATAAAACATTGTTTTCATATTTATTTGGTGAATAATAAATACAGTCTGTCCATAAAGTTCGTGTGCACTTTAAAAAATTTGTAACTTTATTTGTATTTGCGATAGAAATAATATGTAAAAAATGTTATAAAGTTTAATGTACCTAGTTTTAAGTATAGCTAAAATAACTAATGTGATTTCAGGCATTACTGTAAATCAGTTGGCAAATGTTTTCCGTGAACAGCAAAATCGTATTACCCTTTGTATTGCTAATGATGGAGGACATGTGGAAACTTAAATAAAATTTCAATAAAACCTTAAAAAATATAGATTTACTTCTTTCTAATCCTTTTCACAAATTATTTCTATCACAAATACAAATAAAGTTATAAATTTTTAAAAGTGTACACGAACTTTATGGACACTCTGTATTTCATTAGTTTTAATTGTATTAGTTTTTAGAATGTCGCAGATATAAAATTATACTTGTAAAAAAAAAAAAATCTAATAAATAGTGCTTAACATTTTTGTTGTAAATTCTGAAGAACAAAAAATGTATAGAATTTATTCCAAATTCTATTCACCGCTTTTTAAAACAATAAACATTGCCGAAGAGTGAAGGTGAGTCAAAAATCAGTGTCATGGGAAAAACCGTCGATTTAACAATACGTCTTATTGCGAGCACGAGGGTCCATGTTTGCTACCATCGGTTAGTGTTAATAGATCTTCAATGTATAAACGATACTTCATTTGATATAAATTTTATCTGATATTTTAACGCCAACATATCCATCCATTCTGATTCGAAATCGTATGACTCGTTGTATATTTGAGCTTATTGATGAAATTGTACAGGACCGTGTCGGTGATGTTGAGTAGAAATAGAAGAACACACGTGACTTAAGAAATTTCCTGCTACCAGGTCCAACTAGATGAGAAAGTTGGACTTTAATTAAGTCCAAAGAAGGCAAAGAAA